ACCCCCTGATTGTACGAAATATCACGTTTTTAGCTTATGGGCCCTCTAGAGGTCACAATTTGTATCTTATTTTCAAAACTGTTCAAATATATCACCGTTACACCATAATCATTTCCTCAAAATCGGACCGAAACTTCCCGGTCAAATAGCCACCCCTCTTTATAAAAATAGTATAATAAAAGCATGTGATACCCATTTCGTCGACGATATAGAGGTCACAATTTTATCCGATTTAGATGAAACTTGCATGTAAATCGACTATCACTAGTTCTTGTGTGAGTTGTTCAATTTTCATACGCATCTGCCCCGGTCTTTTACACAAAATATGAAATATGAATGAAGTATGTGGACCTTCAACGATGAAAGTTAAACTGCGTGTTAAGGATCAAAAGTTCTTGCATGAGTTCGACTTTGGTAGCATCAGACTTTACATTCTAGAGCTATAGCCCTGTTTTTCACGCAAAATTTGAAATATGTACGGATTTTGAGATCCTCCATTGGAGGCTACCATTGTTGTCCAATTCTGATATGTTAAGGATCAAAAGATATTGAATGAGAGGATAAGCTCTATTGATTTTGCCTCTTCCCCATCCATTTCTTGCAAAATGTGGGCATATCTTGCATGGCAACCGCTTGTTTTTACTGGTCATAACAGATAGCAGCGAATTATTTTATGGAACACAAGGAAAGAGAATAAATAAAACTCTATCCCGTCGTTTTTCTAATTACCTAATATGTCATAGATACAAAGGAAGTGAGATGGACTTGAAATAAAGATTGGTTGTTCAGTTATCTAATCGCAACTCTCGCAACCGTGAGTCTCTTAACCCAGGTATCAGTATAGAGCATAGCAGGGTTTTCTTCTTATGAAAGTCTACGTTCTACTCACTTCTATGTTAAAATCAAGCCTCTTTGTTTTTAATAGAATAACCCGGAGAAAAGAGTACTGGCGGCCAAGCCCCACCCCCACTACATCGGGCCTGGGGTAAAATTTACAAACTTATACATACGTGATTATATTGTAGAAGCTTCACATGAATGTAATGCACGTGCAGTGCTATAACGTTTGTCTGGAGAACTTCCGGTTAAGTGGCGAATTAATGGAATTTCCGTAAAAACTCCGGAATTCTGTTAATCAGGTGTAGTTTTTCGGGGGTTGGGGTATGTGTGAATGAAGCCCCGGGTGTTTAACCATTCCACTGACCGAGCTAAACAAACCATTGAAGAGGTCCCTTTATAATTGTGGCTCCCGGACCGACGGGATAAGTAACGGAATCCGTGCAACTGAACCCCCAATTAAAATTTCGAAAATATTTCATCATAATTGTGATTTTAAAATCTTAAAAGATTTTGTAAATCAAGGGTAATAAGTCTTGGAGGAATTGTTGGAAATCGCCGTCAATACGCAGAACAGTATAGGGTCTAATACTCAGTAATATGCAAAAGGAAGACATTTGAAATTGTAAAAATAAAACTGTGCTCTGTCGTGTTTACAAGCTTGAAACCATCTGTTAAAAACTGGAACGAAAAGGCAGAGAATGCTGAATATCGATAGGATAGTTCCTATCATAATCACAGTGCTTTACATCAGATTTAAAGCAAATTCATTAAGGACCGTAGCCTCTATCATGTCCACAAGGTCTTTGAAAAAAGGACCGTAAATCGATATGGTTCGTCCTCTGATGACTCCAAAACGTGAAATAAATGTATAGAACTCTAGCCTATCTCCCTGAATATTAATGAAGTTGTCCTCTTTTGGCCACAATGCTTTACACTTGAAATCGAAGTCAAGAGGTGTCTCTCTCTACCCATGTGTTGAACTTAAAATAATGTTTAAACCAACTTTCGCTGCCAACACCGGGATTGAGCCAACGCCTTACTCATGCATATTTTTGATATTTCCAATGTTCAACTTGTTGCGGTGGGGGCGTGTCAAGATTCACCTATCTGTCAGGGCTTCTCCCCTCTTGCTCGAATAAAGGCGCGGATGCACATTGATCTCGAGGCAGTTATCAAAATCTTCGAAAATCAGTAAGCTAGAAATTATGTAAAAAAATGTGTTATGTCTTCATCGTCGGTCCCATAATTATTGATGTTAACAATATGCACGGTAGGGGTGTCAAAATTTAACTTTTTTAAACCTTGAATATAGCGATGGAATAGGGTAAAGGATTCTATGATCTTCGAAGTGTAATAATAACTATCACCTTAACATGTCATCATGTAATATCGAGTCATTTCACATGTCATGTCACGCCATGTCCCATCTTATCACGTTAGGTCACGACAACAGTCAAGTTACAAATGGGCTAATGAAGACGGCCATACGCCATACAGTGTGCTATGAGGGAAATTTTGCCCGGACAGCGGCACTACGGCCTACTCTTATATCGAATTCCAACTGCCAAGGGATATTTTACGTGCACGCCAATGTGTACACGGGACCTCGGTTTTTCGTCCCATCCGAACGACTAGACAGCTTTCCTTGTCAGACCCTCCGTCCTGCATCACTGCATCACTGACAAGGGAGAACCACGCCGGAAAATCTGGATGAACTTTCTCGGCCAATGCAGGGATCGAACACCCGACCTCCAGGCTAGCGAGCTAGCGTCTTACCCGCTTAGCCACGTGATCCCCCAGTCAAGTTACACCATGCAGTATCGAATAAAGTCACATCAAATAACTATTAACGTCGAAAAGACCCAATGCTAGTTTTTAGTCAGGTTGACCGAACAATCGGGTGGAAAACTGGAAACGGAAGTAAAGAAAATACAAAAAAAAAAAAAAGAACTTTTGAGATCTGTGAAACGTTTTTATAAAATCCAATATGGCTGCCAAAAGGTTGAAAATGTTATTGAATGGAGTCCCTGAAAATAATGAAAGATACCATCTTGGACTAACACTACAATAATATATCATTTTTACTCTATTTTCTATAGATAGGTTTTAAAAGCGGGTTTAAAAGAGTTCCGATTGTCAAGAAATATTTATAACCCCGTAACCTGCGATAAAGTGGGTTTCATATATACACATTTGCCACACGAAAAGTGTCAGATTCTTTAAGTACAACCTAGATCTAAACATACTTAGGTGATCTAAATCTCATCCAAATTCAAGGCTACCTAATTTTCACAATTTAATAAGGATCGGTAGGGTCATAATAATATGTTGGTAAGTCCCCTGCCATCTGCCATCTTCTGTTTTTACGTTGTAGCTGTCCATATCCATATAAGTTACAAATTTCAATGTCACTACCTCATGTTTTTATGAGAATCCCCATTTCAGGCTTAGGAACAAGACTGTGGGGACGTTATCTTCACCTTAAAGTTCCTTGATGTAAGATTATGTTTGAACATGTTATTTGTATCTATATCAACGTAAACTAAATCATAGTAAACATTTAACAAATATATTTGCTTGTGTGTCTATGTCACACTGACGCATTATCGATTTTTTTAGAATGCCATACGAACTGGTGACTTTTCTCATTGGATAATTTACACCTTATTGGCACCGCCTCGAATGTCTTCAAGAATGCTTTCTATTGATTGTATTTTTGAAATATTTATGACACAATTCTCTTGTATATAAACCCAAACCTGACCAAGATATAAACAGTATTGTTGAATTGTGCTTCTTGAGAAATAATAAGTCATTATGGTTACCAGCTACAACGTCGTGGTTTTAGGACCCGAAAAGGTTGGAAAATCGGCTTTAGTGCATCAATTTTTGAAAAAGGATTTTGTTAGCACATATGAACCCACAGTGGAGGAAAGCTATAAATATGTAGCTAAAATGTCAGGTAGGAATAACTGTAAACTTAATTTCAATATTTTAGTCGATGTTGATGGGTAATTACGAGTCACAAAATGGTTGTTTCTCAAGACTTTGCAACTAGTTTTTCCACGAAAACATGGCTTTTTGTTTAGTATTTTAATATGCGCGTGTCCGGGCGGGGGGGGGGGGGGGTACTCTGCTCACGCGGTATTTATACAAGAGAGAGCCTGTACATTTGAAAGGGTAAATTCCTCAGAAGCAAGGAAATCGACATTCAAAGATTTCTTAGGCTCTGCGATCATTCACGCCGGAACAGCAGCCCCCCTCCCCTTTGATCATTTTTCTGCACACTTCCCTGTTTTAGTGTGATTAATGTATAAGATGTCCCGTGTTAGATTGTTAGTATTTTTTGTCATCTTTCGGTTCAGCGTTAAACATATCAGTGGATCCCAACCTTTTGTTGGTTGCGACCCTATTCCAGAAACCAGCATTTGATGACGACCCCTCGAAGAACAAAGCCACCTTTCACTATGAAACACCATCTTTATTAACATTTATTATTGTTTTACTTATTTGACAATTTATTAAAATGAGAGACTGGGGAAACAAATCGTGGGCGTGAGAAAGACGATTGGCAATGTGGCAAAAGCTGTATAGATCAAAAATGTATATGCTTTTCATGACCCAGAGGTTGGGAACCCAGGCATTATATTCACACGGCGTAGCATCGCCACTTATTAATACACAAAGGAATTGAACAAATTTTAGACAAAATTTTCCTTCAGAGATTCAACTTTCACAAAACAAATCACCTCAAATGATAATCAGAGCCTTTAAGACTTTACAAAGTACTTAATGTTGAATAATATATTTTTTAATTAATATAAGTGTGTTTATCATAAAAAGACATAATTTGATCAGATAAAGACTTTACATGATCGAAGGCTTACTATAAATTTTAATTCGTTCATGATTTAATACCAAAAGTACACAATTAAGTTCAAAAGAGGACTGAAGTATGCAAGCTAACCTTATGTAATGGAAAATGCGGATTTAGAATGAAACTTTAGAAAAATTTAGATATAATACATGCATGTGCAATATTTATATATGTGCATAATACCTTTCAAAATAGTTAGGGCGTGATCCTTTGATCTTTTAATCCATTATAATAACTGGGTATTTATATTTGCTTATGGATGACTTATTTATTTTCATTTCAGACGGTGTCTTTAAATCTGTCGACATCTTAGATACAGCTGGATCTGATGATTTCCCGGTAATGAGAAAACTGAGAATAAAACGAGGAGATGCCTTCGTCATCGTCTACTCGGTCGATGACATGAATTCATTCGTCAACATCAAACGTTATTACGAACAAATCAGTCAGGAGAAAGGTGAATATTTTTTTTTTAAATGCTAACCATATTAATTTATATTCCCTTTAAGATTCTATGATATTTGATAATGTTGAATTAATTTTACACTTAACATTATAATTGAATTAAAAAGATTAGGAACGTCACACTACGTCATACGTATATCACTATAATAAATTGGCCAATTTTCAATTTTCAGGAACAACAGTAGTGCCAATCATTTTAGTGGGAAATAAAATGGACACAACCAGCCGCCAAGTTTCAACTGAAATGGCTACCAGACTCGCCAAGGAGGACCTTAAGTGTTTTTATCTAGAAACCAGTGCTAAATGTAACCTGAATGTTGAAAATATGTTCAACATACTATTTTTGAAAGCAATAGTCGCTCCAGTGGAGCTTTCAAAAACCAAACACTCTGGAAAAAGACAAAGGAAACGTTCTTTAAATTTTTTCATTAGGCATAATTCAAAGAATGGGCAATCGCGAAAAACCGAAGATGTGTCCAAATCGACCTTAAATAAGGACAAAGTTCAAACAAGAAGACACTCAATTCATACGTTTCTTGACATTGCAGACACAAAAAACATCGAAACGATTCCCAGACGTATTAGTTTTAACGTCTAATTGGTGCGAGAACAATCAGATCGGCATTTCGAGATATATTATATTATATTTGCGCAAGTATTGTTTACAGACGTTATATATATAAAAATATATATTTATGTCAGTGAGGGAGAACATACAAGTCAAATGACTCTAAAAAAAATAAACAAACAGCAAATTCTATCTAACAGTTGATCGATTTAACTAACTACAAGGGTATCTTATGTATTGTTATTAATTATATTATTATATTTTTATAAATGAATTAAAGGTTTTAAAGTAGATAAGTGTTGTGAATAAATGTTTAGCTTAAAGGGGAAATCCGATGCACTCGGTAGTCGAACCTCCCATTACCTAAGTATCCCTTGTTCAATGCACGGTATCGGCCGAGACTTCTCGAACCTTGGTGTTGATATTTATCAGAGAGAGAGAGAGAGAGAGAAATGGGGTTTAACGTCCACTCGACACAAACTAGGTCATTTCGGGACTAACATATGGTTCAATTTTATTTCTATAATTCGCTTGCGCGTAGGGGTCTTTAGCTGTGGGAGGAAACCACGAGGTTGGACAGGCAACCCTACTCCTTGTCACGTACAACCGGGGATTCGAAACCCCACCAGTTGACTCAATGACAGACCGTATGATACAGCGCTAACCATTCGGCCATCCAACCCCCCTGATATTTATCATAAAAAAAACCCACTTTGCCCGGTTTGGTGTTGACATATCATAAAAAAAACCATTTTTCCCCGTTCGGTGTCGACATACCCTAAAACACCATTTTGCCCGGCGTTGTACAGAATAGTAAAGAGTTGTTTTACGTACATGCCAATGTGTACACGAGACCATCCCATTCGAACAACTATACATTGTCCCCTGCCAGACCCCGTCCAACACCACTGACAAGGGGAACCAGGCCGGAAAATCCAGATGAGCTTTCCTGGCCAACGCCGGGATGGTTGTGCAATAGCTCAGTGTTCGAGCGCTGGACCGGCAACTGCGAGGCGTTGGGTGCCATCATGGGTTCGATTCACGTAAGGGTTAGGAAACGTTAGACCCACGACCCGTGCTTTCTTTTGGGTGATCTGTAAAAAGAACCCTCACCTCCTGATTACCCTAACCTACAATCACGTGTCCTAACCTTATTTACATCCCATCGCCCTTGAAAAAAATTGAGTTTGCCTTAACAAATAGATCTAACCGTGGTGGAATATAAGTAAGTCAATTAGTTATCAATATACTGTACATATTGGTGTTTTTAACATACATATGTTACATTACCGAATCACTACCCAGTGATCCTGCGTCACGGCAACCAAGTTAACATTTTAGCACTATGGCTCGTGCATTTGTCCATTCTGGGGATTGACTGGAACGTACAAACCTTCTTTAGCTACAGAGCATGTTCTTAACGTTAGGCACACCCGTAGGCGTAAATGTCTAACAAACTATCTACATTTATTAGTAGCGCCCCCTATCATCCTGTATCACTGTGCCATTATGGCTTCCGGGGCTCAACGAAACATACCACCTGCTGGACATCCCACCAAACCGTTTGGGGTCATTTAACGGAAGCGGGATTTCTAGTTTTATTTCAGTTTTATGGCTATGTTCTTGACCGTTGTAGCTATAAATGACATCCTCCCTTTCTTCCGGTATGCAATGATTTCTACAGGGATTCCTATTGATTTTGAACTATTTCCGGCATATCTGTCCAGAGCCACTTCCTAGAGCATCTCATCGTCACCGGTTAACATTACATATGCCACAATTATTATGGAGTCTTAAAATGCATGTGTGACGTCATCATGTTGGTGTACAATTATTTCAAATAATGGTACGGACAACGTGCCAATCGTACATTATTTATACTAGATGAAATATTCTATTCTATTGACGACTTCATTGAAATGCATGTAGTATAAGGTCCTGTATAGGGACGCAGTGCGTGACCCCATGACCTTTTGCACGTGTGTGACCTAGTTCGTCATGACCTGGTGATGACCCCGTGACCTAGAAAGAAAGACAGAATGAAGAAAAGGGCAGAGGGGGGTGAAGAGGAAATACAAAAACTCTTTTTGTATTGAATATGTTGGCCCTGATGAGGACCGTTGTCCTCATTAGAATGAGCGGATGTGGTGCACTTTATGTCGGTTGCGTCTAATTTCCTCCACTAATTTGGGAGGGGGTCTTTTCATGGGAGGTGTTTTTAATACCTCATCAGGTAAGGCGAAGATATCGTCGGGGTAATCACGGCAAGAGTATTACCTCTGAGGTAAACAAAAGTGTCCACGTTGCGGTTTTCTTCGATGCGTAAGATCGGAGCACCGTCAACCATTCTGATAATGAGAGACGGATGATGTTTTGTTATATAACCGTAAGTGGCGTAAGGACGAATCCATTTGAGAAATGGGGTATAACGTGACGTCACAACACTTAGGATAAAGTTATGCAACTTTATACAACGTAATTGGAGGCCAAAAAATGAAACCTCGTATTTCATTGGTGGTCTAAAGTATTACTTCCAAAATATCGTATGTCAACAAAGAGAACCAACGTGCGTCGTCTGCTAAAAAATAACCACGCAAACGTCTGATTTTATTGATGGTAAGTAATTCTAATGCAATTTACACTTACATATTATAAAAACTATTGCTACCAAGGTCTCAAGACAACAAATATCAAGATAAAACAGTTCTTTTATATAAAAATGCAACTATCACGTTACAGCACGTGGTTGAGGACGTAATCACATATGCCTATTTCGTTCATAAATTATAAATAATTTCCCGCTCTGTGTAACAAAACTACAAAATGTCTTATGAATTCTTTAATATACAAAATAACACACCAAGTGATTGTAATCTCCAATTTTTCCTGAAAATTTGACTTTCGAGAATTTGGAAAAAATCACACTTCGTAACATTTGTGTTGAATTTATGTCGACATAAGACATTTAGTCGCTAATTATTCATTTACTTTAGGGGAACGACAGTGGCACAGTAAGACGTGCAAGACAGGGGTACTGGTAAGGGACAACGTATAGTTGTTCGGATGGTGCGGAAAACTGAGGTAACATGTACACATTGGGGTGCACGTTAAAGATCCCGTCGCAATTGGAATTCGATATAGCGTCTTTGTCTGGGCAAAATGTACCCCATAGTACATTGCATGGCGTAGGCTTATGCCCGTCTTCGAAAGCCCAGTCGGAGCCGAACAGTAGTAGGTTAAACCCCATATTTTATTTCATTCGATTTGATTTACTTCAGGTTAAAGTAGTATGAGCAAGAGGGAATTATTTCGAACTAGGGGAGATTTTTAGTGCATCTTGCCAGAAATAACAATGGTAGTAAGCCCACGCCTTCTCCTGTCCTGCATAACACCAAAACCGCGCATCAAACATGTCGTCGAAAGATCGATTATGATAAAGATGTCAATAAATATACGATCAAAAAATGTAAACTCGGCGATATCCCTGAAATGAAGAATTATCCCACCACGATCATATCCTACACCTAAACGCATCCAATGAAAAGCAACACATGCCCAACGACATCGCTAGCAATCAGCCAACCAAGGAACTCACACCTACATTGATAGATCTCACACACGTACAGGTAATCAAGGAAATCATACAACCGTCATTTAAGGAGATCAAACTATTAGCATCCCAAGAAATCACCCAAATACTAACTCCAACGGGAGTAACACATCAGTCATTTAAGGAAATCTCCCAATAGTCAACCGGGCATATTCTATTTACAGACGAGGCCATACAACAGCCATCACAGAAGAACACACAGTCGAAATCTAAAGAGATCACCCAACATTCACCCAAGGGGATTACACAACTTGCATCAAAAGAGATCACACAACAGTCATCCAAGATACCCCGACAGTCATTTACGGATATCACAAACCAACAATCAACAAACGCAGCTACACAGCAGTCATCATACAAACAGATCACACAACTATCATCAAAAGTAATACCACCCAACTTCAGTCAATCAAAGATATAACACATCAGTCATCAAAGCTAGAATCAATACAAATCACTCACCAGTCATCCTCACCCGTCATCCATTGAGATTACCCAGCACAAGATATCACACAACTGGCATCGAAAAGAATCACTAAACTGTCAACCAAAGAGATAACACACCAAGCCTCCAGTGCTGTCACGCTTTATGAATTCTTAAAAAATCGGATGCCTGATATACAGTCATCCTCTGATTGTTTTACCGATGGTTTGAGGTTTCTCTTTTAGAAGAGCTGATTATACCGACTGAAGAAACCGAAGAAGACTTTTTGCTAGAAATTATACCAACAAACATAATATTTGTACCACATCGGCCAGCTTGTACGGATGTTGCCGAAAATGTTCAACGGGATTTCCCATATGCCCCCCCCCCCTTGTCCGTGATGCAAGGGACAACGTATAGCCGTTTGGGTGGAACGAAAAACCGGGATCCCGTTTACATATTGGCGTGCACGTGACATAACCCTTGGTAGTTGCGATTCGATATAAGAGTAGGCCGTAGCGCCGCTGCCTGGACAAAATTTCCACAACAGTAGGACGTTAAGTCCCGTATTTTCATTTCGTGTTTTCCAATCATATATACTATTATCTTCCCACTTTTACTTCCCTACTTCCATGGAACTAGATGCAATAAAACTTTTAAGAATTGTAGAAATAAAGCTGGTTTTACTGGACAAGAGCGTTACGTAAATTGGAATATACGGAGCCCGGAAAACTTGAATATAAACAACGAACACCCTAATGTGCGAAGCCAGAAGCCCTAATGTATGGACAGAAATTTATTAAGTTTGTGCTGTTCATTCGATGGTAAACTTGATACGAACCACCTTTAATTTGCATTTACGGGAGACGCGCTATAGATGGGATGCAGAAAGCAGTAAAAGTACCACCTATCTCATTTATATATACGTGTCTTTGGGCAATTTTGCAGTTTTCTGCGTTTCGCACACTGCTACCTACGTGTCCTGTAAACAAAGTATTTTAAGCTAAAAGGTCGTATCTCTACTATCGTTTCTAATTACTATAAAAGTTACAAATCTAAAATATCGTATGTACAATGAAAGGAAGTATGTAAAAAAAATCCACTATTCCATAATGACAATTACACGCAATAAAAATAAATTAAGCAAGAGGGTCACGG